GTCCCAAGCCAGCTCTTAAGCAATGCACCACTCGGCCGGCCCTAGTTTGTGTTTTTTGAGGAATTCGCCTTTCATCTAAGTTATCAAAGTTATTTATAGTGTTCCTGTATTATCCTTTGATGTCTACAGGGTCTGTAGTGCTGTCTCATTTCATTATTAATATTGCTAATTTCTCTCTCTCTCTCTCTCTCTCTCTCACACACACACACACACACACAATCAGTCTTGCCAGATGTTTGTCACTTTTATTGATCTTTTCAAAGAACCAGTTCTTTGTTGCATTGATTTTTATCTGTTGTTTTCTGTTTCAGTTTCATTGAACTGTGCTCCGATCTTTAGTGTATCCTTCTGTTTTCTTTGGTTTTACCTTGCTCATCTTTTTCTAGGTTCTTGAGGTGGAGTTTAGAGTATTGATTTGAGACCTCTCCCCTTTTCTAATATATATATTTATAAATTTCCCTCTCAGCATGGCTATAGCTGTGTCCCACAAACTTTATGTTGTATTTTTATTTTCATTGATTTCCATGGGGGTTTTTTGTAAATTTTCCTTGAGATTTCCTCTTTGATCTATGGATTATTTGGAAATGTGTTGCTTTGTTTCCAGGTGTTTGGAGATTTTCCTGTTAGCGATTTCTCATTTGATTCCATTGTGGTTGGAGAACACACTGTATGATTTCAATTATTTTAAATTCACTGAGGTTTATTTTATGGCCCAGGAAATATGTTGTGGGCACTTGAAAAGGATGTGTGTTCTGCTGTTGTGGGTTGAAGTATTCTGTAAATGTTGATTAGATCCTGTTGTTTGATGGTGTTGTTGGGTCCTTTGTTATCCTTGCTGATTTTCTGTCTAGTTGTTCTATCAGTTGTTGAGAGAGAAACGTTGAAGTCACCACCTATACTTGTGAGCACCTATACTTTGAGTTTTACCTGTTTTTGTTTCGCACGTAGCATTAGCGTAATGCAGGGTACTGTTTCACAAGCATTCTATAGAGGACACCTGTAAACCAAGTGCTAAGTGAGTCTGGAGTAATTTCTGGAAGGATTTATGCGAAGCCTTGATTCCCCTCCTCCACTTTCTATGTTGTGTACTTAATGTTCTGCGGTACCCTCCCCCCTTGCAGGACTAGACCCTCCAGTTAACTTTGTATCTCTGTTCCCTCTTCAAGAGCTTAGCACAGTGTATGGCACATAGTATATGCTAAGGAAACATTTCCAGGTGGAAGGAAGGATGAGTAGGAAGCTACAGAACTTCAGGGTATGCTGGAAGTTTAATGTTTATCCAGCTTTTACTCATCTATTAAACAAACAGTGAGTAGGAACTGCTTGGCAGACACTGTACCAGATGCTGGGAAAACCACTATAAAGCTGCAACACTAAAAAAATATACCATTCAGTTGGAGAGACATACAAATAAGCCAATCATTTTAACCCAAGGCAGTAGTCCTCCAGTGTACAATGAGCGCTACTGCCAGATGGATTATTGAACAAGTACCTCTTTTATCACCTGACATTCGTTCTTCAGCAGAGTGTGTGTAGAGTGTATATAGTATGGGATTTCCACACCTGGCTGGTTATCAGGACTGACCTTGCGAACTTTTAAAATAGATTTTCAAGCATACTT